AAATTCCGAGCACAAGCAAGTGGTCACAAGACCAGTTCACATGCAGGTTTATATATATAGAGATCACAGTACAACAGACTCAAGAAGTAAGCAAGTGAGGTCCAGTAGGCACAAGGCCTAGAAGAGTGCAAAAGCGCTGATGGTCACAAGGCTGAAGCGCCTTGGTGAACACATCAGCAGTGTTGGCCTCAGAGGCCACGTAACGCAGGCGAAGCTGACCACGCTGCTGCAGCTCTCGAGCGAGGAAGTAACGCAGAGCAATGTGCTTCGTTCTGTGCTCCAGTCTGTGCTCCTCACACAAGGCAATGGCTGCCTTGTTGTCGACGTACAGCACTGGAGGAGAACGAGGCTGCTCTCCAAGGTCGGTCAGCAAGTAGGTGAGCCAGCGTAGCTCCTGGGCCGCCATGGCTGTGGCGTAGATCTCAGCCTCACAACTGGAGCTGAGAACAGAAGAAGAGCGAGTAGAACGCCAAGAAACAGAACCAGAGCCAAGACTGAAGGAGTAACCCTGAGACGACCGCTGAGTAGCCTGGTCGTCTGCCCAAGAAGCGTCTGAGTGTCCAGTGAGAACAACTGGGACTCGCCCTCCAAGCACTAGCCCCATGCCCGACGTACTGCACAAGTAGCGCAACACCCTCTTAGCTGCATCCATGTGCTCCTTCCGGTGACGGCCGGGAGCGACATAGCGTGCAAGAATGCTGAGAGGGTATGCAAGGTCTGGTCGAGTGCAGGTCATCAGGTACATGAGGCAACCCACAAGCTCTGGATACGGGCCACTCGGCTCTACGGACTCATCCGAAGGCAGAGCTGAGAGCGAGTGACCGGTAGGCAGAGGAGTGGGCTGAGGCGAGGAGTACGTGAAGCGGAAGCGCTGAAGGACCTGCTGCACCATGTGTGACTGAGTCAAGGTGATGGTGCGGCGTGCTCTGTCCCGGGTGATCCGCAAGCCAAGATAGCTTGTCAGTTCACCCAGGTCTGTGCACGTGTGTCTCTTCTGCAGCTCCGACTTCACGTGGGCGAGTGCCACAGTGTCAGCAGTAGCAAAAACCAAGTCGTCGACGTACACAAGGACGTAGAACGGCGGCAGTGAGGTGTCGGTGCGTAGAAACAGCGACGGGTCAGCAGTAGAAGGCGCGAACCCAAGAGCCGCAAGCGTAGTCCTCAGTGTGTCGTGCCACTCACGAGGCGCCTGGCGGAGACCGTAGACTGGCCGTCGGAGGCTCCACTGGGTACCAGGAGGGAACGACCCAGTGAAGCCAGGTGGACGGCGCAGCCAGATCTCCTCGTGCAGGCTGCCCTGCAGGAAAGCAGTGCTGAAGTCAAGCGAGTGGAGCTCGTAGTCACGCTGAGCGGCGACGTGCAGCAGAACCCGAAGAGTGGTCATCTTCGGGGTCGGGGAGAAGGTCTGGAAGAAGTCAACTCCCTCGCGCTGACTGAAGCCTCGTGCAACGTAACGCGCCTTGAAGACAGGCGGAGAACCCGGCGGCCGCTTCACCCTGAAAATCCACATGCCACTGACGATGTTCGCCCCAGGCGGGGGAACCTCGTCGACGTAGGTGCCTGTGGACTTCCAGGAAGCCATCTCTGTGTCCATGGCTGACTGCCACTGAGAGGAGTAGGGACCGGCCATCGCCTCTGCGTAAGAGCGTGGGGTCGGGATGTCTGGTGCATCCGGGTCTCCCTCAGGGGAAACAAGCATGGACACGAGATGGGGCAAAGCGGCAGCAAAGCACTGGAACTCCTCCTGCCTGTCCTCAAGGACGTCAGTGCCAAGAGCACACTCACCCCCGACGGACGGAGGACAGACAGACTCAGACTCAGCAACTAGGCTAGCAGCGTAGTCTAGACGACAGCGAGCAGCAAAGTCGACAAGCTCAGCAACTAAGGCAGACGCAGCAGCAGACTCAAAGGAAGGGTCAGTGACAACAGTGGCCAGGAGACGCGTGACAGCAGGACTGGTAGCACGAAGAGAGTCTGACCCAGGGTCAGGAAGAGCAGGAATAGAGGAAGCAGGAGGAGACGGCAGTGGGACACGCTGTGGAGCAGTGGACGGACGAAGCGCCATCCGGTGAGTGCCTGGGACAGCAGGAAGACGCTGACGCTGGACTCGATGACTAGAGAGAGCAGTGCGGACAGGCGACCCAGGACGAGACTCAGGCGACGCAGGACGAGACGCAGGCTCACGCCGCTCAGTAAGACCTCCAGTCGGACCAGTGTAAGGAGCAGGACCAAGGAGAGAGGAGGCAGACGGTAACGCCGACTGCAGCTGGACAGGCTGAGGACACTCTAAGGAGGGAGGAGGAAAAGGAGGAGGAAGCTGACCAAGAACCTGCTGAAGGAGCGGAACAAAGTACGGCTGAGACCGAGCAGCGACACCAGAGCCAGCAGGGACACCCGCACCAGGGTCGGCAGCACCAGCAGCAGCTCCAGCGTCCACGTCCTCAGCACCAGCGGTAGCTCCAACGCCCGGGTCCTCAGCACCAGCAGTAGCTCCAACGCCTGGGTCCTCAGCACCAGCAGCAGCTCCAGCGCCCGGGTCCTCAGCACCAGCAGCGGCTCCAACGCCCGGGTCCTCAGCACCAGCAGCAGCTCCAACGCCCGGGTCCTCAGCACCAGCAGCAGCTCCAACGCCCGGGTCCTCAGCACCAGCAGCAGCTCCAACAGCAGCGGGGTTCGTAACACGAGGCACGCCACTCCGAAGAGTGCAGCGCCGCTCGTACCACTCACGGATCCGCTCGCGGGAGGGGAGCTCCCGAACGGGAGAAGAAGTACTAGCACCAGTCCCAGTAGGACGTCCGGCTCGAGCGGTACCTCTCCGGAGGCTGCAGTACTCTAAGTACCACGCACGTAGCTGCTCCGAGGAGAGGGCTCCTCCAGGTGCAGGACTCCCAGACCTCGTACCTCCAGACGCAGAACCCCCAGACTCCGGACTCCGCAGCTCAGTACCACGAGGCTCCACCCCCCCAAGCTCAGCACCCTCAAGCTCCACACCCCCAGGCTCCACACCCCCAGGCTCCACACCCCCAGGCTCCACACCCCCAGGCTCAGCACCCCCAGGCTCAGCACCCCCAGCAGGACGAGAGTCGACAGCTACCTCAACAGGCTCAACCGGGTCTACCTGAGACACACCTGAGGGAGCGGCACCCTGAGGGGGGAGGGGGTCTGCAACAGCAGCACCTGGCGAGAGGAAGAGAGGCGGGGGGGGGAGCGGGGCAGTGCGGTAGGGGAAGAGGCGGTAGTAGGGGACGGACTCGTCAAAAGTGACGTCCTGGGAGGGCAAGACTCGGCGCGAGGTGGCGTGGTAAAACTGCCAACCAGACGCGTCCGGGACAAAGCCGAGGAAGACGCAGGGAACAGCACGGGAGGAGAGCTTGTCCGCAGACGAATCGCGGACAAAAGCTCGAGACCCCCAGACCCGGAAACGCGACGCATCGCCAACCTCCCCCGTCCACAGTAGCGTGGGCGAGGTCTCCGGCAAGGAGACACGGGGCCAGAGGTTGAGTTGATGCGCAGCGTACCGGACCGCAAACGGCCACAGAAAGTGGGGGGCAGCCGCATGGATCAAGGAGGTACGGGCGACCTCCATGACCAGGCCAATGCGGCGCTCCGCAACCCCATTCTGCTGTGGAGAAGCCGGAAGCGTGAACGACTGCTCAATGCCGTGCTCAGCACAGTAGGCTGCCAAGAGGTCGGAGGAGAACTCACCACCTCTGTCAGAGTGCAAGCGCAGGACAGGAAAGTCCGAGTGAAAACGCTCGCTGAGCTGGAGACGGGCTCTGCGGATCCAAGGGATCAAGACATCAGGGACCTCACCCTTGGTGCGCAAGGGGAAGACCGAGGTGTAGCGCGAGTAGTCGTCAACAACTATCAGGAAGTACCTCTCCTGACCCTGACCACGGACGCGGGCTGGGCCCCACACGTCCATGTGGAGTGTCTGCAAGGGAGCAGTCGTCGGGGGGAACGAGGAGGAGTGAGGAGCGGCGCGCTGCCGTCCCTCGACACAGGGGAGACAGGTAGGAGCAGGCGAGGGTGGGAGGGGAGGAAGGACCCTGGGCAGGCCAGAGACAAGGTACCTGGAGTGCATGGCACGAAGCCGCTGCACAGACGGGTGGCCAAGGCGGTGGTGCCAGAGGACAGTCTCGTGTGCCAAAGAGCGACACGAGCAGGGGGCGGACAGCTGACCTGACGCGGACGCGGACGCAGTCGCAGCAACCTGAGGGGACTCAGTAGTCAGTGTGTACAGGTCCGACCCCGGCTGCCGAGTGAAGGTAGCCAAGTGACGGCCCGTACGAGCACACGTGCAGTGTGTCACGCGCTCGTAGGCAGGGGTGAACTGGTGAACACCCCCGTCCTGGAGTGCACAGCCTGCCACCAAGTTCGTAGAGAACGAGGGGAGGTGGAGACCTGACAGTGTGCCCGACGGGACCGCAGGGCAGGGAAGGACAGTGGAAGAGGTCGCAATGACCGGACCCCCAGAGGGGTCAGCAAGGGAGACAGCAACTGGCCGAGTAAGTGGCTCAAGGGCAGTGCGGTCACGAAAGAAGCAGCGAGAAGCACCTGAGTCCAGTGTGAAGGTGTGCAGTGCGGCAGTCGACGCAGTACCAAGGGGGGGAGACACACGAGCACCTAGAGCAGCAGCCTCACCAGCACCTGGGGTAGCCGACACGTGAGTACCTGGAGCGGCAGACGCACTGGCCCTAATGCCCGGGTCGGGCGGCACACACAAGTACTCAGCACCCTCTCCACTAGTAGACATCACATACATGGCAGATAGAATAGCATCAAAGTCTAGAGCATAGATATCAATCCCCTTCTTCAGGAGATCAAGCCAGCGGGGCAGCTCAGTGGCCTGAGGGAACTGAACACGCCAAGCGTCGTCGAGACGAGAGAAGCAGCGCTGTGTGGCGTGCGGTCGTCCACACTGCTGACCAGTGCGGTCACCAGTGCGAATGACGTACGTGCAGCTAAGACCACCCCCACCCCCGTGCTGAGAGTACCACTCACGGACCTCCTGGGGTGAGAGGGTGTGCTGCTGGCCCTGGCCACCGCCAGCGCCTCCACGGCCACCACCACCGCTGCCACCTCCTCGACCACCCCAACCCCTGCCGCCGCCTCGTCCACCGCCACCCCAACCGCCGCCTCCACTCCTGCCACCTCCCCCGTCGCTGCCGCCACCACCCCCACCGCTACCACTCGCCCCTCCAGCCGAGCCACCACCCCCACTGCCTCCACCGCCCCCACCGCCGCCTCCCCCGCCGTCACCGCCACTACCCTTGCCCCCTTTGCCCTTGCCGCTGCGGCGTCCGCTCGAGGCAGACGCAGTACCGACCTTCTCAGTACCAAGAAGGTCGACAGCAGCAGCAGAGGCGACAGAGGGAAGAAGGGGGGAAGGAGAACACCCCTCAAAGAACGGGGTACGGGGGTCGCCACGAGAGGCACCTACAGCGACTATGCTAGCCTCAGCTGCAAGTAGCTCCTTCTCGAGGAGGGCAATGGTGAGCTCAGTGGGGCAACGAGCTAGGAAGTGGTCCCTGACAGCACGCAGTGTGTCAGGGAGGCGGGTGACTAGGTGATAGAGAGTGAGCCAGAGTGGAGGGGGGTGCGTGGCAAGGAACTCAGCAGGCATGGCGGCACGGAAGCGGGCCTCACTAGTACGGAGGTGCGTGATGAGGTCAGCGACTGTGTGAAAGGAGGCCAGGTCGGGAAACAGGTAGGGGAGGGAGAGACGGCCTAGTGCGGCAGAGGCAGGTGAGGAGTAGCGAGCAACTACAGCTGTGTACAGTGCCGGTGCAGTCTTGTGGTGACCAAAGTGCTCGCGTTCGTCTATCGGCAGGGAGTTGCGAATGGCGAAGCGAGCGTGGGCATCACGAGTCTGCCACTGTGAGCGAGCAGTGCTGTCAGCAGTAGCAGCAGGGGCAGTGACAAGGCCTAGGGCGTGATCGTACAGTGAGATGTCATCCTTGGCTGTGAGCTGTAGGTAGAGGTGCAGGTCATCGAGCCAGGTGTCAAACTTCACAGGGCGGCCCTCAGCATCGAACACGAGAACCTGTGGGCTAGCCATAGGAACAGTAGAAATAGCAGCAGTAGCGGTAGGAGAAGCAGGTAGGACGAACCAGGTAGGGTAGGGCGGCGCGGCTCGGTTCAGGTCGGGTCGCGGCTCGGCTGGGTGGCGCGGCTCGGCTCGGGGCGCGCGGCTCGGCTCAGGTCATGGCGGGGACGGGCCGCCCGCTCTCCCTCTTGTGCTGCGGCGGGAACGGGCCGCCCGGGGCCTCTGGGTGGTGGGCACGGGTCGGCGAGGTAGGCACGGGGCCGGTTGGGGCCCTAGAGGGGCGAGCGCGGGGCCGATCGGAGCCTGAGCGGGGCTAGCGCGGGGCCAAACGGGGCCTTGACGGGGTTAGCAAGGGGCCGACGGGGCCTGAACGGGGCTAGCGCGGGGCCGACGGGGCCTGAAACGGGGCCGAAGGGGCCTGAAACGGGGCTAGCGCGGGCCTGATCGGGGCCTGAATGGGGCTAGCGCGGGGCCGACGGGGCCTGAGAGGGGCTAGCGCGGGGCCTACGGGGCCTGAAACGGGGCTAGCGCGGGCCGACGGGGCCTGAAACGGGGCTAGCGCGGGCCGACGGGGCCTGAGAGGGGCTAGCGCGGGGCCGACGGGGCCTGAAACGGGGCCGACGGGGCCTGAAACGGGGCTAGCGCGAGCCGACGGGGCCTGAACGGGGCTAGCGCGGGGCCGACGGGGCCTGAAAAGGGGGCCGACGGGGCCTGAAACGGGGCTAGCGCGGGTCGACGGGGCCTGAGAGGGGCTAGCGTGGGGCCGACGGGGCCTGAAACGGGGCCGACGGGGCCTAAACGGGGCTAGCGCGGGGCCTGAACGGGGCCTTAAAGGGGCCGACGGGGCCTGAACAGGGCTAGCGCGGGGCCGTCAAGAGGGGCCTCTAGGGGCGTAACACGCCGAGGCGCCCTAGGGCACGGGTAGGTAGGTAGTGACGTAGTGGTGGGCCCTTAGAAAATTTCGGTCCTAGGAAGGACCTGCTCTATACCATGTTGGAATCACTGAACAGGAATGAATGAACTAGCAATGAAAAGAGTACAAGTACCTAACCCTAGAATTGTGTACCCCCTATAGGCTAACCCACTGTAGCCTAAACTAACACAACATATATAATGTTTGACAAGTAAGGGTCTTTTTGAAAATTGACTTACATAGAGGTTACCACCAGATTGGGGTCAAACCATCGGACTGCGCCAAGACGGCATTTAGAACTAGGTACGGGTCGTTCGAGTACACAGTGATGCCATTCGGGCTGACCAACGCACCGGCGACTTTTTATTTGACCACAAACGAAACGTTTAGGCCACTATTAGATAAATGCGTGATAGTTCACCTCGACGATATTCTGGTCTACTGTCGCGACAAGCAACAACACTTGGCGGATTTGGAAGCAGTATTCAAAATCCTAGACCAGAATCGCCTACTAACCAAGGGTTCAAAGTGCAAGTTTTTTCAAGACCGGTTAGAACTTCTTTGGCACGTTATTTCAAAGGCTGCAGACGAAATTGACCCGAAGAAGTTAGACACGATAAAAGCGTGGCGTCCCCCGACCAACATCACGGAGCTGCAGAGTTTTTTAGGGTTCGTTAATTATGTCCGTCGATTTGTCCCCGATATGGCGCGCTTAATAGCCCCATTGACGGATTTGCTGCGGATCGCAGTGGCGTTTACGTGGGAGGAGAAAGAGCATGCAGCCTTCTCTGCCCTGAAAATTGTTTTCTGCTCACCGCTCGTACTGCGCATTGCCGACCAACATCGCCAATTCGAAGTATTTACAGACACCAGCGACACCGCCATTGGAGCCGTACTGCTACAGGATTTCGGCAACGGCTTACAGCCCATTGCATACGAGTCACGAAAGCTGTACCCGCTTGAGAAAAATTTCCCGATACACGACCGCAAAATGATCGCGATCGTGCACGCGTTCAAATTTTGGCGCTGTTATTTGACTGGCGCAGACGTGACAGTACGGACAAACCATAAACCACTATAGTACCTCCACGCACAGCCCCACCTCAACCCACGACAGGTTCGTTGGCTTGACTTCCTTGAGTCGAAATTTTACTACACGGTCACATACAAAAAGGGGGCATTGAACATCGCCGACGCACTGACCCGCCCCACTGCCCAAATCCATGCGATACTACTCGCCCAGACTAGCCCACTACTCTTAGGGCTATTCACCCCCGGCTATCAGACCGACCCGTTCTTCACTGGAGGAAACTCGCAGCCGTTCGCAGTAGCAAAAGGGGTGTATTTAGTAAAAGCCGGAACCGATCGGATATGGGTACTAGGCTACACCTTATTACGGGAATTACTGCGACAGGAGGCACATGACTGAGTCATCTCAGGGCATTTCGGGGTAGAGAAAATACGGCAGCAGCTGTAGCGAAATTATTACTGGCCCGAGATGCTGAACGACGTACAGCGACACGTGACGTCGTGTCCCACCTACCAACTCATGAAGTCGTCTCGACAGCGACCAGTAGGACAGTTGCAGCCGATACCACTTCCAGAGCGTGCTTGACATCAGGTGACGATGAACTTCGTCACGGGGTTACCGGCTGGAGCAAGTGGGAACGACGCAATCCTTGTCGTCGTCGATCAGCTAACGACGATGGCACATTTCGCAGCCTGCAAAAAATCAATCACAACCGAAGAAACAGCCCGCCTTTTCATTCCCACCGTCGTTCGATTGCACGGGATACTAGCGGCGATCATCAGCGACCGTGATACGAAATTGACCAGCAACTTCGGGCTGAACCTGTGGCAGCAGTTTGGCACGCGACTATAGTTCAGTTCGTCGTACCACCCCGAAACTAACGGACAGACAGAACAGACAAAACAGACCATGGAACAGTTAATCCAATCCACGTGCGATGACCTAACCACATGGGAACAGCAACTGCCACTCATCGAATTCGCATACAACAACTCTCCATCAGCCACGACCCAACAGTCGCCATTCTACCTGAACTACGGACAAGACCCCACAGTAACCATGACCTCGAATCCCGACAACCCGATGCCACGCGCGCAACAGTATGCAGAAATTTTACAAGCAGCACAAACCCAAACAACCTACGCTATCAAAAAATCGAATATCATTGTTAAATGCAATGCCGATCGCCACCGCCGCCCTGTCACCCTATCCTCACCGGATACCTGCACATCCAAAATTTCTGGGATGTACACGCACTTTCGTAAAAAGGGCCTCCTCAAGGGGGGGGGGGGGGGGGTAGTGTAAGGAAATTTTTTTTTTTCCTTACTTCGCGTCCCTGCTCAGCGCGTATACCATTGTTCCCACCAACAACTCCCAACAGTGCATCGTTACCATTCGCGACACTCGTCTCGACTACTGTTCCCGCCACTGTTCACAATGCGACCCAACCTCATGGTTCGGTTGGTAACCCACGCTCCGGACCTCCGCCTCGACAATTCCCAGCCTCGGCGCTAGGCCCGTAGCACACCTCATTTTCACACATTACCATTACCACTTTTGCTTAGCTCTATATTCTTGGCTCATGTCTAGGGCGTGTTAAATCGGGAACTACAAAAAATCGGCCACAATCCGTCGGGCCGTTTTTGCGTAGGTAACCAGTTTGCGACAATCGTATGTCAAGTGTCGACATTCGCAAATTTCGCAAAGAAGTAACGAATTTGATGGCCGTTAAAAAGTTGACACGAAAACGATGCCGAGTCGACTCCAAAATGGCCTAGTACTCGACACAGTGTGCGACAATCGTCTGCGACGTCGCACGGCTTCGCCCACGACAGAATTTGTAATTGTGTCAAATGATAAATATTGCCATCAAAAGTGCGACCCCGTCGCACATACTCAACTAGTGTAGTAACTGCAAATTTAACAACTTTTCCGAACCGGTCTGCAAATCGGCCACCGAAGTTGTAAAATCGCCAAAACTGTAGATTCATTCGGCCACCTCGTCGTTGTTCGCGGAAAATAAGATGTGTCAGATTTATATGACATAGCTACTGTAGGCTATAGTGGGGTAGCACATATGGGGTACAGTTTTCTAGGGTTTGCTTTTGTACCCAACTTTCCCTTAGTCAATTCATTCCTCATTTCTTCACATGGTATAGAGCAGGTTCCCTAGTGGGAACGCTTCCTTGGGCCCACCACTGAAACCTTTTTTTTCTGACCGGAGCGACAGTCGCTCCTGCCCGAGGCGCGCCTTGTGGGCCGCCCTTCTGTCGAGCTCTCTTAGATGCCCCTCTCACGGCCCCTCGCGCCACCCTTAGCGGCCCCGTCGCCGCCCCTAGCGGCCCCGTTGCCGCCCTTCCAGGCCCCTTGCGGCCCCTAGCGGCCCCATTGCCGCCCCTACGCGGCCCCGTAGCCGCCCCTAGCGGCCCTGTCGCCGCCCTTAGCGGCCCCGTTGCCGCCTCCCTCCCTACGCGGCCCCGTTGCCGCCCCTACGCGGCCCCGTCGCCGCCCCTAGCGGCCCCGTCGCCGCCCCTACGCGGCCCCGTCGCCGCCCCTAGCGGCCCCGTAGCCGCTCCCCTCCCTACGCGGCCCCGTCGCCGCCCCTACGCGGCCCCGTCGCCGCCCCTACGCGGCCCCGTTGCCGCCCCTAGCGGCCCCGTCGCCGCCCCTAGCGGCCCCGTCGCCGCTCCCCTCCCTACGCGGCCCCGTCGCCGCCCCTACGCGGCCCCGTCGCCGCCCCTACGCGGCCCCGTCGCCGCCCCTAACGGCCCCGTCGCCTCCTCCCTCCCTACGCGGCCCTGTCGCCGCCCCTACGCGGCCCCGTCGCCGCCCCTAGCGGCCCCGTCGCCGCCTCCCTCCCTACGCGGCCCCGTCGCCGCCCCTACGCGGCCTCGTAGCCGCCCCTACGCGGCCCCGTCGCCGCCCCTAGCGGCCCCGTCGCCGCCCCTAGCGGCCCCGTCGCCGCTTCCCTCCCTACGCGGCCCCGTCGCCGCCCCTACGCGGCCTCGTAGCCGCCCCTACGCGGCCCCGTCGCCGCCCCTAGTGGCCCCGTCGCCGCTCCCCGCCCCT